AGGAGGAGGAGGAGGAGGAGGAAACCTCTATCAGAGCTTCACAGGGTCGAGTATCACCGCTGTAGACAAGTTTGAAGTCCTCGCGCCCTCTGAAGATGAAGGAGAAACCTAGCGAGAGGGCCAGTGAGCGACTGCAGCATTCAAGAAGAGGGGAAAGGAGATAGCTGTCTTGGTTTCGTACCATATGCAGGGAATGAATGTTGCACAAGAGCAGTTCTCACTTCCACCATGTCAACCTGAGGTAAGAATCACAAGTTATAAAAGGTTGTCTGCAGTCAACACCACAAGTCAAATGTTTCATGAACTCACATCGAGTTGTTTTCTTGACCTCGACGGGTTGTCATATTGCAAGTCAGCGCAGTCAACAAAACTGTTTGTTTGTTGATTTTAGTGTGAGAGAATCGAAGTCAGAGCAATGTACGTGAAAGGTATGTTCTCGAGCCGGCTGAGATCCTGTAACCAGGCCTCTAGCCACATCGGCCCAATGACAAGAAGATCTGTTCAACGATAGTGATGTTAAATGGGGGCAAACGTGGCGAAGAAGAGAGAGAAAAAGATAGTTTTGATTATGTGAAAAAGTTCAAGAGTGTATACAAGTTTCACAGAAAAAGAGCAAGAGATGATGATGATGATGTGAAGAACCTCTAAGTACCTTGAGGAGAAGAATATCGCTCGTTGTCTTGCTCTACCTTCTTCGGCTCACGGATATTCCTGTGGAGAACCATACGTTTGTGAGATTGTAATAAACTTCTGAATGTAAGGAAGAAGAATGCTCTGACAACAGGGGAGAAGAATGCGTCACCTTGGATGAACAGCTTTCTGATGCAGCTCTATGGACGATCGAGAGGTGAATCTCTTTCCGCAGACGGAACATTCCCACGTGCAATCAGAACTCAGTCTGCTTTCTTCTGCTTTCACTTGCATCAGCCCTTGCCTCTTCAACAAGATCCTGTGTCCACAACTCAAAACTGCCGTCCTACCCTTCTGCACGCACCAACCTTGCAACCCCGGAGATGTGATCTGCATGTTTGTGCGAGACACAAATCATCTTCAGCTTCTTCAAGATGTCCTCTGCTTTCTGCTGCCCCATCTTCCTTACCATAGCGCTGTATGTCCCATCCCCTGCATCCAGAAGCACACCGCTCCCATCTTCCAATTCGACGAGAATGCTGCTGACAGTCCTAAATGCTTCAAAGTCAAGATAAGGCCATTGAAGATCTCATGTAGATGTTAGATGTTTGATGTTTGATGTTAGATGTTACACGTTAGATAGACACATTGCAGCACACGAATTCTCATTGTCACCTGTACTTGAAAGGAGCTGATGCTCCTGTGCCCAAGAACAATATCTTGATGTTTGGAGATGTTTCTGATGTCTTTTCGTTCTCCATCATCTGTGCCTTCCTCTCCTCGAATGGTTTGTAAAGTTTTCCCCTCTCCTCCTCATTACAAATACAACCCTATGCAGATGTTCAGATGCATCATCCCATCGTTCCGGATTGCACCTTAAGGCAATAATAATGCATCATTGACGTCTCCGGTATGCTATCTTTCAACCCTGTTTGCTGTCAACACAATCAGGTTAAAGTGTTCTGCTTTCAATCTCAAGAATATCCCACTTTGTGTGGTGGAAGGATGAAAACTTGCATTGGCCATCCTGCAACGTGTCATCGACAACAAGGACGAGAGAGGAAACAAGACAAACCGCAAGTTGCACGAATATTCTTCATTCTATCATACTCTCTCCTTGGTATGTTCCCACTCTTCTCGGGCCCGAACGACAACAAGCTCGGGTACTGGCAGGCTGAAGGAGCAAAGAACTTCTCATCCACCTTCAACAGAGTGAGACCAAGTTTGTCGACGTGATGGAAATTACCCAAGATAGCAGCTTGAGATATCTTTCGGACGCAACGTAGATAGGTCTTTGAGTTTGAACGTCTGAGTTGACGACCCTGTCACAAGTTTGTTACATTTCTGATGGTCGTCCTACCCAAATATCCTCTCTCCTCTCGCCACCTCCACCATCACTACCACCACCTCCTCGTTATTGTTATCGTGAATCCTGATCATCATCATCTTCATTCTTACACATGAGTAATGTTGAGGCATGATGGAATCTTGGAGGTAAACTGAGACGACAAGTCATGAAAGGAAGCAGAATAATCTGAAGACCTGAGCATACTCCTCTGATTCAAGAACTTCATCGGGCGACATGTGAACGAAGTAGATCATTCTGTTGAGAACGTTTTCTTCTGAAAAAACAGAGAGAAGCTTCGAATCTGAAGAGAAACGATATATCATAGGATGACGATGCAAAAGTCAACGTAAGGATGATAGTTGTTTCCCCTCTTCTCTACCCATTTCTCCTTCCTCCTCGTCCGCTCACCTTGCAAACTCTTGACATGAAGACTGGATGGACAGTCAATCACGCACACTAAACCGCCTGGTGCACCTGGACCAACACAGTCGCTGGAGCAGGAAGTGTCATCAGACATGTAGCGAAGTCAAACGCATGTCAACATATCATATCACACAGAGCATGTACATCCATTACCAATTAGAAATGTCTCATCTGTCCTCATCACCATCTTTTTCACTCACCTCGGTGAAATTTTTCTTCCATCTTCAAGCACAATCGTTTCTCCTTTGACTAGTTTTCCTCTCATCGGACCCTTGGGGACTTTCAGCTCTTCTGCTTTCTTGACATCGAACTTTCCAGGCAGATCGGGGAATTGAACTACATAACAAACAGACAACCGAGATGTCTTGCTTGATGTTCCATCATCCAACCATCTTGATCGTCTTGAATTGAATTTGCTGTGATGTCTTCGATGATACGGACTGTAAGAGAGTAACAGCGTGTGAATACTTCCGTGTTTGTGGTCGGGTAGCAGCATATCGATGATTTCGTTGTCGGCTGCTTTCTCTCCTTGCTCCATCTCTTCAAAACTTCTCTTCAGGTGGTTTCGATCCTTCTCAACCTCCTTCTCAGCGTCGGGATTCAGCACATACGGTGATATCTTCGTTCCATCCTCTGTTTGAAAGCTGCTGAATCTTGGATGAACATCTCCAACCTCAGGTAACGTGACTGGTTCAACACGATGTAAAGGACGGCCTATACAATAGCACAAACAAACAATCTCTCACCCAAATTCAGTGACATGTTTGGACGATTTCCCAAGAAATATGAAGTTGACATCATATATTCTTTCATTCTCACCCCCGTGAGGTTGAGCTGTGTCTGCAGACATTGTGAATGAAGCAAATCATAGTTCCATGTTCACCTGCCCCTCCTCTGACATCTTGAGGAGACAATCTGTGATCCCCGTGATGTACTCCCAGTTGTTCTGTGTGAAGAAAAAAGAGCTCGCCTGCGAACCATTATTAGCGCAAACTCAAACAACGGTTCGTCATCGTTATCGTCATAACCTCTCCCACCAATCTCTCCCCCCGCCCCCCACCTTTCGTCCTCCTCCTCCTCCTCCTCCTCCTCCTCCTCCTCCTCCTCCTCCTCCTCCTCCTCATCTCAAATGGTTCCTATCTTAGTCGTGAAGGTAAAGAAACGACGCACCTTGTTTGTTAGTTTCAACTTGTTCTCAGTCATCAATCGCTGCGAAACGTCACCCTTCGAATGACATGAAATCTTCCTCTACCTGCGTGCCCTCAGGGCAGTTGATCAAAATCCTGTCCTGCAGAAGACAATCAGAAGTGAAAGGGAGGAAGGGAGGAGGGAGAGAGGGAGGGAGGGAGGGAGGGGAGTCAGAGTAGTCAAGCAAGGCAGTACCTTGGCAGTTGTGATGCAAATGGACGGAGGAGATTCAGGTCCTGTGCCCGAAGGTGTCATGTCAAGACTCAACATCTGAATCATCACCACATCCGAGTATCGTCACTGAGGACATGACAAGAGTGTGTCAGTCTCTTCAACTCATGTAACTTTGTCACCATAGTTGGCGGCACTTTGCAGGAGGCTGTGCGTGTTGGACATGGTGAGGGACCAGAACAAGAGGAGGAAGAAAAGGCCTTGCACGTAGATCAGTCGTTTCGATACCCTTGAAACTCTCAAGTTACCAGTAATGTTGAAGTTTCTTGTGTATTCTTGGAGAGCTTCAAATGGGAACAAACTATTGTCTTAATGTTTACCTCCTGACAATTTCTCACATCAGCATTGTGAAGTGTAAAGCTGAGGTAATCTCTATCATATCCAAGTCATCCCATCTCTTTCCATCATATCTGGATTCTCCTGTATCCCATTCCCTCCCGGCTCTCCTCCTCCTCCTCCTCCTCCTCCTCCTCCTCCTCCTCCTCCTCCTAGGCCATGATCCGATCCTCGATCCGCCCGTTCCCATACAGAAGCGCATTGAGCCTATAGAGACTTTTAAAATCGTTTTGCACTCCTATGACAATGGCTGAGGCGGACACGGTGAGCTAGGGCACGTGCGATGGAGGCGAAACTGGGTTGAACGGCGGGCAGGGAAGAAACAAGAGCAGACGGTGAGGAGCGAGGGAGAGAGAGGAGGAAGAGGAAGAGGGTTCGAGGAGTTCAGGCAGGAGAGGATAAACTGATACAAACCTCGAAAGGCAAAGTGGGTAAGGCGAATGCGACAAGGAAGGATTCGAACCCCCACAATTTGCCATTCATTCTTTCGCCATAACATCTAGGAAAGAAACGCCTCGATTCACCCTGTTCGTATTGGTTTTCATTGTCCTCGTCAAGTTCACCATGAGCGCGTCTTCGAGCGTCATGTTTGTTGAGATGGATGAGAGCTGCGAGGTCCGTGAAAGGACAGATGTCGGAGGACGACGAGGAGTGTTTGCGACTCGTGACATCTCGCCTGGAGAGGTTGAAGATGATTCTTTCCTCTTTCCTCTTGCTCCAGCTCTTCCTCCTTCCTCCCCCCTCCCTCTTCCTCCCGCTCTCCCTTCCCTTCTCGCTCTCGCTCACCCTGTCCCTGTCCCTGTCGCTCTCGCTCTCGCTCCCCCTCCCCCTCTCGCCCTCGCTCTCGCCCTCGCCCTCGCCCTCGCCCTCGCCCTCGCTCCCCCTCTCCTCCCGCTCTCTCCCACTCATGCCTGTCTCCCTCTCGTCCTTGCCCTGCAGTCTAGTTCACAGGTGTGTTGTTGACTCAGCCTCACAGGTTGTGGTAGCCGAGGCCCCTCTCGTGCCTTACCTTTCAGGAAAGTCCGAGACAGAGGACCACGTTCACATCTTTCTGGCAAAGGAAGTCCTCAGGCATCAGGACCGTGACTCGGTGCTAGAGCAAATGAAACCATTGTATCCTCAGTCTATGGACGACCTGGAGGAATCCGTGTACAAGAGGGCAAAGAAAGTTCACGCGGACTCAGTTGATACCCTCGTGGACTATCAGAACGAGCCGAAGTTGGAGGAGAAGGACGTGTTTTGTCTGCTGTTGAAGATCTGCTTCAACGCCTTTGAGGGAGGAATCTGTATCAAGAAGTCTATGTTCAATCACCGGTGCTTGCCGAATTGCATGACTTTCAGCCCGGGGGAGAGAGTGAACGGTCAGACGGGACAGAAAACCTATTCCAAGATGTCCGAGGTGGTTGCGACGAGGGCAATCAAACAGGGGGAGGAAATCTTCATCTCGTACCTTTACCCACTGGAGCAATCGTTTGCTGCGCGTTCTAAGGTGGGAGGCCTCCAAGCTTGTCAGACTCATTTCGCTCACCCTCCTGCAGAAATTTGAAGCGCAACATTTCTGCAATCTGAATGAATCGCCATGGCCTGTGGAGATGGAGAGTTTCCTCTTCGAGGATCAGGTGAGCCTTGCATCCATCGTCAAGTATCTGTTGACTTGGGGAATGTTAAGGAGGGGTTCGATAGAGAGGCAGTAGTAGAAGACATGGGATACATCGAACAGGTTGTCGTTGAAAAAACTGCACCTTTGCAAGCAGACTGAAGTTGATCCAGTCTTGTGAAAAACTTGACGAGATGCTTGAGGGCAACCAAGTCAGCCACAAGTTTGCGTTGAAGCAGGTATGAACACGCTGTGTTGGTAAACAGCGCTGATAGCAAACCTCTCAGCTCAAGAGCGAGAAGGTTGAGGCCGAACAGATTCTTCATCCCCACCATCTTGTAATGTGAGTCGGCTGGTCTGCTCATCAAAAGGCTCCAACGTCCCAACAAACGCTCAACTTCTTTCAGGTGTCGCATCAACAACATGATTGTCAGGAGTGCGCATGAGATCGCAAGTTCCCAGAAGAATCCCAACCCAGCACTGATCGCGTTGATCCTTCGCTGCAGGTCGATAGCGCTTGTACCGTCTTCAGCAGCTTCTGACTTGACGTGCAGCTCTGAGCTACAGGACTCGCTCGGGAAGGCCCTGGGCTCCGACCATTGTGACCTCGCCCGCATCCTGTGCGACATTCAAGTCGCCTTGGAGTTCATGATGCAGGCGGCGCCCGAGTTACTTTACGCCTCGTTCCCTGAGAAGTGAGACGGTCTTAACGGTGAAAGCTGTAGCTGAATTGTGGGCTGCAGGTACGGATCATGGCAGAAAGCTTCGAAAGCAGAATATGCCTGTCAGAAAGAGTTTAAGCGAATTTCCTCTTTGTATGATACAAAACCTTAAGTGCAATTGTGTTGTTCGTTCATATCAATCTTGACAGAAAAATTTCCTTCTCGGACTTGAAACTCATCTGTTGGCGACAGGGGCCCTCAGAAGAAAACACTTCGAGGGGAAAGAAGCAAACCCTCACATGCGGAAATTCTTTTTCTAAACTTTCCATTTCGCTCAACTGCTTCCTTGCAAACACTTGATACGCAGGATCCACTTCATCGAAGGGTCTGTCAATCTCTCAATCTCACCATCACCATCGTCATCATCTTGCACCTGTGTTGAACAGCCCGATGAATCGCATCCAGTCGCCTCAACAAGGTTGATGACGACTTGGTGAAGAGACTGTCAACGAGCTTGTTCCATATGTAGTCAATGGCCTGATCAACAATCAGTCTTGCTACCTTCACCACTCCATCATCACAAAGTTTGTAGGATGTAGCAAGTCATCTTGGTAGTATCGATAATCCCGCAGGTCATCCATGACTATCTCATACGAAGGGAAGTAGAAAACTTTGTTTGGCAGCTGAGCCATCAGCTCATGCGCTGTCACAATCAGGTTTGCCTTGCTCCTGCTGTTCTCAACAGCTCCGTCCTTCCAATGTCGAACAGGAGAGACAGTGATGATGATTCTCAGTTTCGGGTTGAGAGACATCCAGGTCGTCAACGAATCTTTCAGCGCCTCGCTCGCCTCGCTCGCGCTGACAATCTTGCGAGAAAACAACAACTGAGGCAGCTTGTGACAGTTTGAAACAACTTCTCCTGTTTCTCTCAGGGTGAAGGCCCATGCTGATCCCAGAGTGAGGAATAGAAAGTCAGCTGAGAGCAAGGACTGTCTTGCGAGCATGAACTCTTTGTTCATGAGCTGCAGAGTCTCCTGTGTGCTGGTGCTGGTGAATTTGGTGTGATGCTGGAAGCTGAAACATTTCCTCCCGTGCGATCGAACGTCTTGCTCGTCAAAACTCCGCTCCTGTCCCAGCCTCTCAAGCTGCCAGGCCAAGGACAGAGGGTTATAGGTGGTTCCGAAGGGGTTGACACAGACTTGGAACTTGGCTAGCTGGAACTTGCTGCCCATGTTCTCTGCCGTTGAGAGTCAGTGAAGATGGTGCGAGAGGAGACGAGAGGAGTTTGCCTGAAAAGCATGATCCCATCAGTACAATCGAGTCATCCGGTTTGACTTTTACGGGAAATTCCTTCACATGGATCTCGGTCCTGCTCTTCACCCCCGTTACTTCTCCATGTGCTCACAGTTTTCGGATCGTCACCTGAAGACCTGTGCTCCATTCATCTCGCACAAGCGCCATGGCGCTCGTGGTGAATGGCGAGGAGGGGAAGGTGGGCGAGAGGGGAGGAGAGCAGTGGGAGATGTGAGGAGAGGAAGAGGAGAGGGAAGGAAGGGAGAAGTGACAGAGGAGGAGAGGAGAGGAGGAAGAGCATGAAAAGGCGGGAAGGAGTGAGGAGGAGTAACGAATCCGTCGCATCCTCCTCCCGCCATGGCCACAAGCAACAGCAGGAATTTCCTTGCCATTGCGACTATTCCTTGTCTTTCCCCCTACCTCAGATGAATTGAGATTTCTTAGTTCTCCTCTAATGCAAAACAGCCAGGGTGTGACCCCTGAGGTTTCACCAAAGGCAAACGATGGCTGTGAAACTTGGATAACAGCGAACGGTGCGGTGGGAGCAGGGAGCACAACGAGGAGCGGGAGGAGGAGGGAGGGAGAGGAGGGAGAGGAGGGAGAGGAGGGAGAGGAGAGGAGAGGAGAGGAGAGGAGAGGAGAGGAGAGAGGGGAGGAAGGATTGATGAAGGTGGCGGGGAGGAGGAGGGGGGGAGATAGACTCCTTGTTGACTTGCTGATGACTGGTGCTGAACCACAGGCATGGCAAGGGACGAGAGCTGAAGAGAGCTCGTCAGCTCGATCGTTGGTCAGGCTCAGCATGTCAGAGGGATCCTTGCAGAGGAGCGCTCGGGAGGAAGAGAGGGTGGAGGAGGCAGTGGAAGAGCAGGAGAAGAAGGTGGAGGAAGGGGAGGAGGAGCCACCGCATCAAGAGGAAAGGAAGGATGGAAAAGATCAGCGGGATCGGAGGGAGCAGGAGGAGCAGGAGGAGCAGGGGGTCAAGAAGGAACAGGATCAGCAACCGGCGCAGGCAGCCGCAGAGCAGGAGCAAACGCACCAACAGCAGAAGGTCGAAGAGCAGCTACCTGAGCAACCAGCTCTCTTCCTCCCCATCGGATCCCCGACGCTGCTGATGGAGCGGAGCGAGTACAGCGACTTCCTGCGGGAGCTGGGTATACAAATGCACTACCCTGAGCGAAGACCGACCTGCATCGTTTGTGTGTCCGCTCGATGGATCTCCGAGACAGAGGAGGTCAAAGTCATGAGTAGCCCCTCCCCCAAGACCGTCCACGACTTCTTCGGGTTCGCCGAGAGCCTCTACCAGGTCCAGTACCTGGCAAGAGGAGATGCGGAGTTTGCAGCTCAGGTGGGGGAGGCCCTGGAGAGGTGGGAAATACCCTGGAAGTTCGATGGCACGAGGGGGTACGACCTGGGCTGCTGGTCGCCCCTCTCCCTCATCTTCCCCGCAGCAGACGTTCCCATCCTTCAGGTCTCGCTCTCCGGCAACTTGGACGAGGCGTTTCATGTCAGGCTGGGCAAGGCGCTCGGCGAACTCCGCGACTGCGGCTTCCTCCTGGTGTGCACTGGAGGGGTGACACATTCGCTGCTCGACCTCTCCTTCGGGGAGAGCGATCCGAATGTTCATGCTGGAATCTTCGATCAGTGGGTGAGTGAGGTGCTGGCAAGGGAGGAGAACAAGCCAGCATGGCAGTCGGCAGATGAGGCCTGGGATGCGAGAAGCTCGAAGCTGTGCTCCTGGAACAAGCACAAGGACGACAACATCCGCATCGCTGCTTCCTCCTCTCATCCTACCCGCGAGCACTTCCTCCCACTCCTGGTTGCCTCGGGATCCGGAGGGCCCAGGTCGAGTTGAGAAGTCAGAGTGTCTGCTCTTACTGTTGCTGCAGCTCTCAGCTCCACATGAGCTGGAACTTTGGAAGTCTGTCCATGCGATCGTTCATGTTCGGTGCGATGCCCCCGAGGAAGCATGCTCACCTGCAGCACAAGGGGCGAGACACTCCAGAGACCAGCACGGTGAAGTTCAAGGAGCGGAGTGGTACGTGGGTCAGCGTTCTGCTACGTTCCCGCGTTCTGAGCTGCGATGATCAGGCGGGGGGAGGGCGAGGGAGGAGGGAGAGCGAGCTGTAAACGTGCTTTCGCTCGATGCTGAGAGCAGACCCGACGAAGACTCGCATGCAGACATCCATGTGCTCTCAGGGGACGGGGATGAGGACGAGGACGAGCACGGCTCAGCTCGGACCCAGCTCACCTCCACCTCCACAGGGACGGAGACTGACCGTCTCCTCAAGCTGGCAGCTGCAGAGTCTCTCAAGGAAGGGATTGTTGATCCTGTGCAGGAGGCAACCCGATCCTCCCTCCTCAGCTCCAGCAGTGCGGCACCAGGCCTAGGGATGCAGCAGATGGACGAGACTGCAGAGACGCGCTTCGTGTCCTCCTCGACTGCCGTCGTTGACCTGCAGGAAGTGCCAAAGAATCGCCCGAGGACGAGCAGCAGCAGGTGATATCTGCTCCGCTCCTCCCTTCCCTGGCTCCTTCCCCTCTTCAACCTTCCTCTCCTCCCTTGCTCCTTCTCTCTCCTCCTCTCCTCCCTCTCCCTCTTCCGACTTTCCCTTCCTCCTCCCTCACATCATGACGCAGGTTTTCAAGTCGCCCCCCCAGCCGCGAGTCCGTACAGCGAGCTCAGGTAAAGCTCCCGTGTGTGACATAGGTAGTGAGGCTGCGCAGGAATCTGCAGCTGTCACTGCCGAGCAAATCTTCGTGGTGAGTTGAGAACGGGAGTAGGAGCAACAGGAGCAGGAGCAGGAGCAGGAGCAGGAGCAGGAGCAGGAGAAGGAGCAGGAGAAGGAGCAGGAGAAGGAGAAGCAGGAGAAGGAGAAGCAGGAGAAGGAGAAGGAGAAGGAGGAGGAGGAGGGGGGGGGGGGCGAGGAAGGGAGTGGGGATTGACTATTTTAATCGTAAACAGGAACAGATCCGAACGCTGGAATCGAGGTGAAGCTCCGCGAGCAACCAACGAATTTCTCAACTCTCACCCGCGCCCTCTCTCAATGTTTATCAGTCGTCCGTCTCCCTTCAAACACTCACACACTTTCTCTGCAGTCTTAGACTATCGAAGTGTACAAACACCAACAAATACAAACAAATACAAACAAATACAAACACAGGCTCCATGGCTTTTTCAGTCACGCACTCTCTGGCCTTCTCCTTCTCCTCCTTCCCCTCCCTTGTTCCTCGTCTCATCTGTCGGCTCACGTTTGCATCTGCCGGTATGCAATCAAGACATGTCACAGGAGCGATCAAGCTTGCCTGATGTGCGATGAGCTTGGAGTAAGCTCCTGTGGTGTTGGCGATAAGATCTGAATGCTTGCCCTGCGAACAAGAGATTCAACCTCCACCATCTTCATCAGAAGAGCTTCCCATACCTCCTCTACGATCACTCCGCCCGACAGCACAACGATCTTGTCTGCATGCTGGCACACGATCAGGACTGCAAGCATAACAAAGGAACTGTCGATCACCTTGATGGTTGACAGGCGATGAGCGACGACTACCACTGTCCTTCCCATCTGCCGCATCCTCGTCACACTGCAGCCACTTCGATCACGTTTTTTCACCATGAGATGCTCTAGAGCCTCTTGCACCAGCCTCTCACTCTGTGAGTCCAGCGCTGACGTCGCCTGTCAGCTGGAGGTCAGCTGGAGGGTGGAAGCGTCGCATCGGACTTCATCTAGGAGAAGGACAGTCGGGTTGGCGACCATCGCACGTGCGATTGCGATCCTCTGCCGACCACAAGAGCATCAAGACATGCGCTGAAATGAAGACGGAGGGAGGGAGAGCGGAAGGAGAGAGGAAGGAGGGAGCGAGGGAGCGAGGACAAGAAGGAAGAGGAGGAAGTGGAGGACCTGTTTCTGCCCGCCGCTCATCTGAGTTCCTTTCTCTCCGCATTGCGTTTCAAACTTGTCAGGAAATTCCATGATGAAGGCATGAGCGTTCGCTTTCTTGGACGCCTCGATAACTTCTTCCTCCCTCGCGTCCTCCCTGCTGGCTCGTCACCGCATGTCAGAAATGGCGTTTGCTCCACCTTCCATAGCGGATGTTCTCGAAGATCGTCGTGGCAAACAAGATCTGAGAAGCCGAACGTCACCTTTCGATCTTTTTCTGTCTCTCCCTCTCTTCTATTCCGTTCTCCTCTCCTGTCATCTCCTCTCCTCTCCTCTCCTCTCCTCTCCTCTCGTCCTCTCTTCTCCTCTCCTCTCTCCTCTCTCCTCTCACCGGCTCCTGGCTGACAAGCCCCAAATGCGACCGCAACCATGACAAGTTCAGCGTCTTGATGTTAACACCGTCCAGCAGGATCTGCCGCTTTCTCAGCTTCTTTCGTCTTCCCTTCCACCTTCAGCATCACCTGACCATCGTCGGGGTCATAGAAGCGCTCGATAAGGGAGATGATGGTGCTTTTCCCGCTCCCCGACCCTCCGACCAGCGCTGCTGTCTTTCCGGCCGGGATCACTGGTGGCAGGCAGCGTGAGGAGGAGCGAGTCAGAGCAAGAGAGACGGACTGAGGTTGAGGTTGTCGAAGATCTTCACGTCCAGACGAGCTGGATAGGTGAAGGAGACGTTTCTCAGCTCGATCTCCCCTCGCACTTGCTGCAGCTTCTCTCCCGACGGGTCATTGGCATCGATCTTGGGAGCCTGGCTCAGTCGTGAGCGCGAGCATTCCTTCAAGACATCAAGTCACCTTGTCAATAAGCTTGAAGATGGCGATAAGTGCAGGTTTTCCCTTTGCGATGTCCGGCGCAATCGCTCCCGCCATGCCGGCAGCCATTCCCATGAAAGTCACGGTGAAGAAAACCTTGAGATGAAAGTCATAGTCGGCATGTACAGCCTCCATCCTCCACTATCACCTGCAGCACATCCTTGAAGGAGTATCCCTCGTGGGTCATAAGGTACGCCCCTCCCGCGAACCCACAGTAGTAGAGGAAGAAGACGGTGAAGAGCGAGAACCCTTGTCCGAGTCCCGCAGCTACAGCCGTCTTGTGCTGTGCGCCAGTGTCTGACCTGGAGAGGAAACATCAGTCACTTGACTTGCAGCCTTGCCTTGTTCTTGATCTTTCACTCACTTGAGCGTCTCCTCGTAAACATTCTCAACTTGACCTTCGGCAGAGAACGCGGCGACAGTTCGCAACCCAGCAACTGCCTCGCTGGCAATAGCTGTGGCTTTCTGGAAGAACAACAGCAACATCAGTGAAAACATCTGTACATAGCTGACATGAATGCTGATCAATCCATGACATGATCGAAGAGCAACACAAATGACAACAGGCACCTCATAGGCTTTCGACAAGTCTCCGCCAGATCCCGCGATAAACTGCATTTGCAGCATATTCGCAATCACCATCAGCGGGAACGTCGAGAAGCAGATCAGCGTCAGCATCCAGCCTCGAATGAACGCGATCGTCAAAGAGATCGCCATGACAACGATGTTCTGGATCATGAGGCCGATAGTGGTTCCGACCGCGTTCTCTACCAAGGAAGCGTCCTTGGCAAGCTTGGTCGTCAGGCTTCCGCTCGCGTTCTCCGTGTAGTCGAAGAAGCCAACGTCCTGCCGCAGCACGGAGGCAAAGCTCAGCTTCCTCAGCCGCTGCGTGAGATGCTCGCCCATGATCCCGAAGGAGAAGAGCTGCAGGAAGTTGGCAACGAAAGCAGCAACGGCCAACCCGACGAAGCCATAGCAGTACTTGACGATCTTAGTCTCCATCAGGTTGAAGCACACGCTCGGCTCGCTGTAGAACCGATAGTAGAAGAGGGGAGAGGGTAGCTCACTTCATAGCACCACATCCTGGTGTTGTTGAGAGCGGTACAGGCGCCTATCCACTGGCCGTTGCGATAGACGCAGGAGGTGTCGCAGCTCGTCTCGTCCATGAATATTGAGAACACAACCTTCTTGCCGGGGTTGAAAGGGTCCACGTTTTCTTTTTCAAGGCACATGCTGTACCCAGCGAGCATCTCCGTGAGCAGCAGCGCAAGCACAGGAAACAAAGCTCCGTTCAAGCAAGCCCCGATCGACCCTGTCAAGGCCCAAGGGAAGAACTCCGGGCTGTTCAGCTTGAACGCTCGGCTCAGGTAGCCTTTCTCGGCTTTCTTCTCCTCCTCGCTTACCTCCTTGAGCACCACATCTGTCGTAGACTTGGTCGCTGACACTGTGTCCTGCACAGGCTGACTTGCCTGGGTTGGCTTCTCCTCTGTTGTGGCTGGAGTCCCTCCTACCGCCGCCTCTCCCGCCATCATCTGCTTCGAGACAAGCTCCCGGTAGAAGCCGTCCTGCTTCGCGTACAGCTCCTCATGCGTCCCCTCCTCGACGATGGTGCCCGTCTGGAAGACACAGATCTTGTCTGCGTTGCGGATGGTCGACAGGCGGTGAGCGACCACCACGACGGTCCTCCCGTCCATGAGGTTGTCCAGCGCTCCCTGTACGAGCTTCTCGCTCTCCGAGTCCAGGGCCGACGTGGCCTCGTCCAGCAGGAGCACCTTGGGGTTGGAGATGATGGCGCGCGCAATCGCGATCCTCTGCTTCTGACCGCCGCTCAGCTGCGTCCCTCTCTCCCCGCACAGCGTGTCGTACTTGCCCGGAAGCCCGGAGATAAACATGTGAGCGTTGGACGCCACCGACGCCTTCTCGATCTCGTCCATGGAGGCGTCGGGCTTGCCGTACTTGATGTTCTCAGCGATCGACACCGCAAACAAGATCGGCTCCTGTGACACGATGCTCAGGTGCTCGCGCAGCCACTTGACGTTGAGCGTTCGCAGGTCTCTGCCGTCCAGCATGACCTGCCCCGCGTCCGGGTCGTAGAAGCGAAGCAGCAGCTGGATCACCGTGCTCTTGCCGCTCCCCGAGGCCCCGACCAGCGCCGCCGTCTGACCCGCTGCGATGTTGAGGTCGAGGTTGGTGAAGATGGGAGCGTCCTGGCGGGCTGGGTAGGTGAAGGCGATGCCCTTGAGGCAGATGTCACCCTTGACACTTGCTGGCTTCTCGCCTGACGGATCTTCGATGTCGATGGGGGGCTTGCGGTCGATGATGTCGAAGATTCTCTTAGCTGACGCCTGGCCCTTCATGAACGCCTGCACACAAGGCCCGACCTGACCGAGACTAAAGCCTCCCATCACCACAGAGAAGAAGACTAGAATCACGTCTCCTGCTGAGTAGAGAACACCAGTGCGGCTGTTGGTAACGCCATGCACGATCAGCCAGCTGCCAAACCACAGTCCAAGCGCATAAGTGCCCATGAAGCTACCCATCACAGATCCCATTCCCAGTCCGTTGGTACGAGCCTTCTTGATTCCCATTTCCAGCGCCTCGTCCAGGTTCGAGCAGTACCTCTGGTTCTCTCGTTGCTCTCCTCGCAGCGACGCTACAGTTCTGATCCCAGTGATGGCCTGCTCCGCAACAGCTCCTGGTCATACCGGCCAAGCCCGTCAGCGCATCCCAACACTTTCCTCCTTCTCCTCCTCGTCATACCTGCAGAGCGATACGCCCGCTCTCCCTTAGTAGCAAGGTCTGCCAGGTTCTTTGCCATCCAAGCTCCAGCCCCGGCCAGCAGCGGCAAGCACGCACAAAGCACCTGTGCAAGCTATGTCAGAGCCCTGCCCCTCCCCTCCCCTCTCCTCCCAAGCTCACCAAAGCCATCTGCCACCCTTGCCAGAACCCAAGCGCTATGCCGAACACGAAAGTGGACAGGTTATGAACGAAGAGTACGGCCTTCTCGCCTATGGCCCCCTGCACGTTGGAGCAGTCGCGCTCAATCGACGTGGTGATCTCTCCAGTCTTCTGGGTGTCAAACCAAGCGATATTCTGTCTCAAGATGGCCTTCACGTACTGCCTCCGCAGCCTTGATCCCTGGTTAGCTGCGGCCAAGAGCATGGCACCGTTGGAGATGGAGCCGCATACGAGCAAGCCCAGGCTGATCCAGAGAAACAAAAGTGCCTTCTCGTTGACCTTACTGGCAGAGAGCGAGCCGGATTCAAACCCTCCGTTGATGAGGTCCTTGAAGAACAGCGTGAAGGCAGGGAGAGCTGCACCGGTTGCGAGGGAGCAGACGAACGAAATGAGGATGAGGATGCAGTCAAACGCATCAGCATAGCGAAAGAGAGCAAAGAAGGAAGCTTTCTCGCCGAGATCGTCGTCTTTCTTCGCCTCATCGGGTTGCGGGCGATCACTCCCTGCGAGGACAACTGGGCATTTGTCTTCGTCTGGCAATGTCACAGCACTGCCCGATGCCAAGTTCTTGAGGACAACGTCCCCTTTGATCTCTGAGGCCTCGTTTGATATCTGCTCAGGCAGTGCAGACATTGTGTCTAGTCTCAAGAGACCTAGAGTGAGCACCAGTACCTGCCAGGCACAAGATGAGGGCGAGTACAACAACACACACTTGACGAAATGAATTTGTTTGGCAATGAAATAGAAAGAATGTTCTGAAAGGATTGAGCTACCACAAACTATGGTCTACAACCATGGGTACATCGACACCATTGGCAGATAGATGCACGTGTATGAAGGAACAGAGCACACATTGTGCAAATGCGCATGTCTGGAAGAAATAGATACATGTCTGGAAGAAATAGATACTCTTGTAAACGAGCCATAAGAAAAATTCTACACAATCCATATAGCATCACGCCAAACTGAAGGTGAGTTAGCAAAAAGGACGCATTCAAGTCAATGCGAGTAAGTAAGGTTCTATGAGTGCCGATTCAATATGCAATGAGGCAAACAGCGCCTTCAAATGGCATCGCAGCGTACAACAATGCCGCGCTATGCATGTGAAGATCGTGCCTAATGCTAGTTGGCGGGTTGAGCCTTAGCAGTAATTTGAAATGTTGTCTTACAACAGTGAAAATTGATCTCAAAAATTTAGAGATAAACCGGAATAGTTTAGAAATATTGACCAAATTTGCCAATTGGAGCAGCCAAAACCATGTAAAATGGTTGAATCAGAGGTGGTCCCGACCGCCAAGGTCATTAGTAGGACGAACAACTGTGGGTGGGAGTGTATGGAGACCCGGGGGTAGTCTTGATGTGGGTGTGTGGTGTTGAATTCAAGGGCATCGAAGTATCACATTATTTCATATCACAAAATATAGTAAATGAGAGAGCCTAGTTCAGCTCCCTTGAAGGGCATTCAAGTTCAAACTTCAAGGGGGTATAGAAAACTCGGGTGTTGGGAAACAGGGGGTAGGGGTAGAAAGATTTTCTACGAAGGGTTGGGTGGGTGATGTATCTTTATATCTAACCGGAGAACCGGAAAGACCACTGAAGTACCGGTACTTTTTACCAGAAAGGTACCTGCACTGTACTATGGTAGACTACGAACATTCTACAAGTCATGACCAGATGTCACGTTACATTCCGAACAGTAACCCCCCTTTCCTGCCTAAAGTACCCCCCTTAAAAGATGAGTTGACTAAAGGTAGTTTCAGGCCCATAAAAGTCCGTCTGAAGGAGGGGTGGTCATGATTTTACACTCTGTCTGTGGGGACGTGACTGTGCCGGACGATTACTTTGTGTTCACGTCCCCCCTGCTTCATGAAAGCAACCCGCCTCAAGAACATCTTCAGGAGGAGGGGGCCCACCGAACGCGCTTCAGCCGCATGCAGCTGTCAAGACGAGTGGGCAACGAAGAGCTTGACATGTCAATACCAGTTTCGCCACCAGGTTCTCCATCTGATCTGTGGAGGAGGAAGAGGAGGTGGAGGAGATAGCCCATCTTGTAACAAAGGCTGCTATTGAAAGCGTCGGGCTGGCGCTGTGTTCACCAGCACTCTTCCAGTTACCGTGTGATAAGTTTTCAGCTGTTCTGTTGTCTGATCATTCGAGTCTGAAACTGGAGGGGCGAGGTCTTGCGAGTGCTGGGAGAGTAGATGTGAACATCATCCCGACCTCACCCGCCGTCGGCATCGTAACAATGTCGCTATGGCAGACGCGGCATGGAGAGACGGAGGTAGGCGTGTAAGAAGGATCTTTGAAGAGGTTTGACTTCTTTTTTAAAAGCGTTTACTTTTTCAAACGCATGGTAAGACTCTCTCAGTCTATTCAAAATTGATTGTGCTTGCAAACAGCTTTTATTGTAACAGACGATGTCTCAAAGGTGAAAGTATCTATATTTCTTAAAAAAGTGGACGCAGTCCCAAAAGCTCCAACGACAAGGCGAAGACCCGAGATCTGTCTCGGATGTCGAGCATGTCTACTATCAAGCTTGCATCTGCATGGTCACGTATGTCAGCAGCGCCCGCAGAGCGTCATGCTCTCCGTTCCACCTGATGCGCAATCAACTTGGAATAAGGCCCAGCAGGATTCTTGATGAGCTCCGAATGTCGTCCCTGAAGAGCCAGTCACTCCCTCCCGTGTCCCTCCACTCCCTCCCACCTGCTCCATCACACTCCCCTTGCTGAACACCATGATGTTGTCCGCGTTCTGTCAAGACGCGTCAGGTCCAGGTCTCTACTCCCGAGTGCCGTCTCTGCTCTACCTGGATGGTGGAAAGGCGATGCGCTACGACGACGACCGTTCTCCCAACCTGGACATCTGTTACATGAGGCTCCCTCCTCCCTCGCGAGTACCATGAGGTTTTCCAGCGCCTTCTGAACGATCTTCTCGCTCTGAGAGTCAAGCGCGGAAGTAGCCTGAGGCCTATCGTCAGCACCCACCAGCAGCCCAGCGGCAATCACCTCATCCAGCAGCAGGATGTTCGGGTTCGAGACCATGGCCCTTGCAATCGCGATCCTCTGCGAGACCAGTCAGACTCCCACGTCTCCCCCATCGCCTCCCTGACCTGCTTCTGTCCGCCGCTGAGCTGAGTTCCTCGCTCTCCGCTCTCCGTCTCGAAGTTGCCGGGCAGGTTCATGATGAAGTCGTACGCGTTGGCGCGCTTGGCGGCTTCATAAACTTCTTCCTTGCGAGCATCCTCCCTGGCAGCGCTAGAGTGAGATCGCATGACACCGAGCACAGGCAGCAAGACCTTCCATAGAGGATGTTCTCGTAGATGGAGGTAGCGAACAGCACCTGCGTCCCTCACACGTCACCGAGCTCGCCGACATGGGCAGCCAGGCATACCGGCTCTTGGCTGACAAGCCCCAGGTGAGAGCGCAGCCAACTCAAGTTGAGCGTCTTGATGTCCTTGCCATCCAGCAGCACCTGACCTGACGTCACCATCGCTGCATCGTCAACACCACCGGGTACCTGCCCCTGGTCTGGTTCGTAGAAACGCTCGATCAGGGAGATAATCGTGCTCTTGCCACTGCCCGAGCTGCCGACAAGTGCCACTGTCTGACCGGCGTTGATGGCTGTCCAGAGTCACCGGTCGCCGGAACAAGAGGAGCACGACTCACTCAAGTTGAGGCCGCTGAAGATTTGAGCTTCGGGTCGAGCAGGGTACGCGAAATGAACGTTCCTCAGCTCAATGTCGCCCTTCACAGAGGCAGGCCTCTCTCCGCCCTCGTCTTGAATGTCAATCTTGGGTACCTGCCGACGCATTCAGCACCCTTCACACGTGCATGGTTCGGTAGGAGTGGCGCGCGTACCCGATCAATCAGCTTGAAGATAGCAATGAGCGCTGGCTTGCCTTTGGCAATGTCCGGAGCGAGGGACCCTGCCATGCCAGCCGCCATGCCCATGAAGGTGACGGAGAAGAACACCTGATCACGCGCCAGTCAGAGAAAGCAAGGAGACCCGCGCATGCACACGTACCTGCAGCACATCCTTGAAGGTGTAACCATGATGATCCATGAGGTAAGCCCCTCCCGCAAAACCGCAGTAATATAGGAAGAACATTGTGAACAGCGAGAACCCTTGACCTACTCCTGCAGCCAAGGCAGTCTTGCGTTGACCGCCCGTATCGGAGCTAGCCAGAGTCATCAACCCGCTAGATGCAACAGCAAGTCTTACTCTAGCGCGGAATGGTAGAGGTCCTCCACCTTCTCCTCTGCTGAGAACGCGGCGACAGTTCGCAACCCAGCAACTGCCTCGCTGGCAATAGCTGTGGCTTTCTGGAAGAACAACAGCAACATCAGTGAAAACATCTGTACATAGCTGACACGAGTGCTGATCAATCCATGACATGATCGAAGAGCAACACAAATGACAACAGGCACCTCATAAGCTTTCGACAAGTCTCCGCCAGATCCCGCGATAAATTGCATTTGCAGCATATCCGCAATCACCATCAGCGGGAACGTCGAGAAGCAGATCAGCGTCAGCATCCAGCCTCGAATGAACGCGATCGTCAAAGAGATCGCCATGACAACGATGTTCTGGATCATGAGGCCGATAGTGGTTCCGACCGCGTTCTCTACCAAGGAAGCGTCCTTGGCAAGCTTGGTCGTCAGGCTTCCGCTCGCGTTCTCCGTGTAGTCGAAGAAGCCAACGTCCTGCCGCAGCACGGAGGCGAAACACAGCTTCCTCAGCCGCTGCGTGAGATGCTCGCCCATGATCCCGAAGGAGAAGAGCTGCAGGAAGTTGGCAACGAAAGCAGCAACGGCCAACCCGACGAAGCCATAGCAGTACTTGACGATCTTAGTCTCCATCAGGTTGAAGCACACGCTCGGCTCGCTGTAGAACCGATAGAAGAAGACTGGATCCACGTTAGGTACTTGGTAGCACCACATCCTGGTGTTGTTGAGAGCGGTACAGGTGCCTATCCACTGGCCGTTGCGATAGACGCAGGAGGTGTCGCAGCTCGTATCGTCCATGAAAATTGAGAACACAACCTTCTTGCCGGGGTTGAAAGGGTCCACGTTTTCTTTTTCAAGGCACATGCTGTACCCAGCGAGCATCTCCGTGAGCAGCAGCGCAAGCACAGGAAACAAAGCTCCGTTCAAGCAAGCCCCGATCGACCCTGTCAAGGCCCAAGGGAAGAACTCCGGGCTGTTCAGCTTGAACGCTCGGCTCAGGTAGCCTTTCTCGGCTTTCTTCTCCTCCTCGCTTACCTCCTTGAGCACCACATCTGTCGTAGACTTGGTCGCTGACACTGTGTCCTGCACAGGCTGACTTGCCTGGGTTGGCTTCTCCTCTGTTGTGGCTGGAGTCCCTCCTACCGCCGCCTCTCCCGCCATCATCTGCTTCGAGACAAGCTCCCGGTAGAAGCCGTCCTGCTTCGCGTACAGCTCCTCATGCGTCCCCTCCTCGACGATGGTGCCCGTCTGGAAGACACAGATCTTGTCTGCGTTGCGGATGGTCGACAGGCGGTGAGCGACCACCACGACGGTCCTCCCGTCCATGAGGTTGTCCAGCGCTCCCTGTACGAGCTTCTCGCTCTCCGAGTCCAGGGCCGACGTGGCCTCGTCCAGCAGGAGCACCTTGGGGTTGGAGATGATGGCGCGCGCAATCGCGATCCTCTGCTTCTGACCGCCGCTCAGCTGCGTCCCTCTCTCCCCGCACAGCGTGTCGTACTTGCCCGGAAGCCCGGAGATAAACATGTGAGCGTTGGACGCCACCGACGCCTTCTCGATCTCGTCCATGGAGGCGTCGGGCTTGCCGTACTTGATGTTCTCAGCGATCGACACCGCAAACAAGATCGGCTCCTGTGACACGATGCTCAGGTGCTCGCGCAGCCACTTGACGTTGAGCGTTCGCAGGTCTCTGCCGTCCAGCATGACCTGCCCCGCGTCCGGGTCGTAGAAGCGAAGCAGCAGCTGGATCACCGTGCTCTTGCCGCTCCCCGAGGCCCCGACCAGCGCCGCCGTCTGACCCGCTGCGATGTTGAGGTCGAGGTTGGTGAAGATGGGAGCGTCCTGGCGGGCTGGGTAGGTGAAGGCGATGCCCTTGAGGCAGATGTCACCCTTGACACTTGCTGGCTTCTCGCCTGACGGATCTTCGATGTCGATGGGGGGCTTGCGGTCGATGATGTCGAAGATTCTCTTAGCTGACGCCTGGCCCTTCATGAACGCCTGCACACAAGGCCCGACCTGACCGAGACTAAAGCCTCCCATCACCACAGAGAAGAAGACTAGAATCACGTCTCCTGCTGAGTAGAGAACACCAGTGCGGCTGTTGGTAACGCCATGCACGATCAGCCAGCTGCCAAACCACAGTCCAAGCGCATAAGTGCCCATGAAGCTACCCATCACAGATCCCATTCCCAACGCATTGGTACGAGCCTTCTTGATTCCCATGTCCAGCGCCTCGTCCAGGTTCGAGCAGTACCTCTGGTTCTCTCGTTGCTCTCCTCGCAGCGACGCTACAGTTCTGATCCCGGTGATGGCCTGCTCCGCAACAGCTCCTGCTCATACCGGCCAAGCCCGTCAGCACATCCCAACACTTTCCTCCTTCTCCTCCTCGTCATACCTGCAGAGCGATACGCCTGCTCTCCCTTAGTAGCAAGGTCTGCCAGGCTCTTTGCCATCCAAGCTCCAGCCCCGGCCAGCAGCGGCAAGCACGCACAGAGCACCTGTGCATGCTATGTCAGAGCCCTGCCCCTCCCCTCCCCTCTTCTTCCCAAGCTCACCAAAGCCATCTCCCACCCTTGCCAGAACCCAAGCGCGATGCCGAACACGAAAGTGGACAGGTTATGAACGAAGAGTACGGCCTTCTCGCCTATGGCCCCCTGCACGTTGGAGCAGTCGCGCTCGATCGACGTGGTGATCTCTCCAGTCTTCTGGGTGTCAAACCAAGCGACGTTCTGTCTCAAGATGGCCTTCACGTACTGCCTCCGCAGCCTTGATCCCTGGTTGGCTGCGGCCAAGAGCATGGCGCCGTTGGAGATGGAGCCGCATACGAGCAAGCCCAGGCTGATCCAGAGAAACAAAAGTGCCTTCTCGTTGACCTTACTGGCAGAGAGCGAGCCGGATTCAAACCCTCCGTTGATGAGGTCCTTGAAGAACAGCGTGAAGGCAGGGAGAGCTGCGCCGGTTGCGAGGGAGCAGACGAACGAAATGAGGATGAGGATGCAGTCAAACGCATCAGCATAGCGAAAGAGAGCAAAGAAGGAAGCTTTCTCGCCGAGATCGTCGTCTTTCTTCGCCTCATCGGGTTGCGGGCGATCACTCCCTGCGAGGACAACTGGGCATTTGTCTACTTCTGGCAAAGACATTGCAGTGCCCTCTGAGGCCTCGTTTGATACCTGAACCGGCAGTGCAGACATTGTGTCTAGTGTCGAGAGACCCAGAGTCAGCACCGGTACCTGCCAGGCACAAGATGAGGGCGAGTACAACAAAACACACTTTAGGAATTCAACGTCTTTGGAATCTACATGAGGACACTGCTACTCAAAGGATTGAGCTACCACAAACTGTGGTCTACAACCATGGGTACATCGACACCATTGGCAGATGGATGCACTTGTTGCAAGGCATGCCTTGGCATGGCATCGCAGCTGATGCTGTGCCGTGCCTTGGAGAACAAGAGTTTTTCAGGGACACTGCAGGGGGGACGTGACTTTCACATAGGTCGTACCAGGAGCTTTTTTTGACGGAAGATTGAGTTAAAATTGGAAGAACACCAACAAACCCGCCTCATGAGACAATTAGGAAAAGGAGAGGGCAGCGAAAACCGCCCCGCTCCAACCATGCAAGCGACCAAAGCAGGGGAACAAGCACGGGAACAAGCAGGGGAACAAGCACGGGAACAAGCAGGGGAACAAGCAGAGGAACAAGCACGGGAACAAGCACGGGAACAAGCAGGGGAACAAGCAGAGGAACAAGCACGGGAACAAGCACGGGAACAAGGATCAGGACAAAGAGCACTAGCGCAAGGCTCCTGCGAGGAGGACGGCAAGACCAATGCGAGCTCGACCGCAAAGCGTCAGCATGAAGAGGACCATCCGTACCTGCGGTGAAGGGAAGAAAGGCTTTCGGCGGCTGATGGGTGGCATCAACCGCCGAAAAACTGGCGCGATGATCCGAAATCTTCTGTTGGGCGGGGCTGGAGAGCGCAGAAAGGCCGACGGGGCTGCCATGCTGAGGGACGTGGGTTGGCGAAAAGAATGTAGCTGCCATGAGCCCGGAGAAGAGCTGCCTGAACCTGGGATAAGTGCGCCCGCCGCTCAAGATGAGGGGGAAAAGTCTGCATCAAACGTTCTGTGACTGAACCCCGGGGGGGGGGGGGAGAAAAGGAGGTCCACCGCGAGTTGAAAGAGCGCTGGAGTTAGATCGAATTGTGCAAGCGTGCGTCATTGAGGTCACTGAGGTCCATATATTGCGGCACTCCACGATCAAGCAGGGTCCCGAGGCTGAATGTCTAATCCCAGGTCATCACGGATGGTGTCAATAAGGTCTTTGATCGCAGCGCTGGCATCAGAGAGTCGCTCCACAACAGTGACATTGTCAGCGTAGAGCAGGAAGGTGCAGCGCGTGTGTTTATCCGCAACTCGCATGAGAAAAGGATGGAGAGTGTGGCAAACTAGACTGAGGCCAGCTGGGCTAGGGCTGCGAGGAAACTTCTCAAGAATGTCTTAGTAAATCTGATAGAAGTCGTCGGTCCGGAGGCCTGCCGGAGTACGAGTTTGTTAGACTTGTACTATGCCAAAGTGATGCAGACACCAGTCGACCTCAGCTGGCAACGATTGAGACAGTTTTTGCTCAAGACCGTGTTTAATGCACACGAAACAAGGGTTGAGCAGCACATGAGAGATAGAAGCGTCCAGACATGAGAGGAGCCTCATTCAGACAGCTAGGGAGGCCTTCCCTTTCGTCTCTGCCGCTACATGATGGCCGCTGTCTGCAACACGTAAGAGTCATCTTTTGCTTTACAAGAGAGTTTGGTCAACTGTCAACTCGGCGCTACTTAACTGACACGGCCCCGGGCCCCCGGGCCCGCCGGCACTGACGGTGACCGCGACGGCGGGCACTGCTGAATGCACGGGCGTAACTTGGCGGGGCGGGCCTGACTCCGGGAGGTGGTCTCTAGTACTACCGACTAACACTCAATAAATGCGCCCCCCTACCCCCACCATGACCACCCCTACCATCGTTTAGGCATCAAGAAGTCTGTAAGAATGAGGGGTCAAGAAAAGATCACAAGACGCAGTTTGATCTGGAACAGACAAGCTGCAGACAAGGGCATCGTCAGGGTGAGAACCTGCCTTGTGTTCCGCCATTACCATTCAGACAAGTCCAGAAAGGCTCTTGAACGCGATCGACGCCACAATCTTGTTGAAAAAGTTCTTGCGCGGCGACACAGCCGTCTGAATATCACGCTCTCTTCTAATTTAAGATTTCAAAAAATTTGAGACAATTTGAATGGAAATCCTAATTCATCTTTGAACAACATGCAGTCAAACAAGGTCAAACCTGCATCTTCTGAGGACCAGAATGGACGATCTCCTTCCAACGAGGTAGATCTCGCCAAACAGGAGAAAACATCATTCTTTGCTCTCTTTCGCTATGCTGATGCTTTGGATGATTTCCTCATATTCATCTCCCTTATTGGCTCAGTAGCAACTGGCGCAGCTCTCCCTGCCTTCACGCTGTTCTTCAAGGACCTCATCAACGGAGGGTTTGGAGCAAGCTCGCTCTCTGCTAGTGAGGTCAACAAGACTGCTCTGTTTTTCCTTTGGATCAGCCTGGGCTTGCTCGTATGCGGCTCCATCTCCAACGGCGCCATGCTCTTGGCCGCAGCCAACCAGGGATCAAGGCTGCGGAGGCAGTACGTGAAGGCCATCTTGAGACAGAACATCGCTTGGTTTGACACCCAGAAGACTGGAGAGATCACCACGTCGATCGAGCGCGACTGCTCCAACGTGCAGGGGGCCATAGGCGAGAAGGCCGTACTCTTCGTTCATAACCTGTCCACTTTCGTCATTGGAATCGCACTTGGGTTCTGGCAAGGGTGGGAGATGGCTTTGGTGAGCTTGGGAGAAGAGGGGAGGGGAGGGGTGGGACAGTCTGGGCGGTGCTCTGAGCTTTTGATAGGTTATATGCGCGTGCTTGCCGCTGCTGGCCGGGGCTGGAGCTTGGATGGCAAAGAACCTGGCAGACCTTGCTACTAAGGGAGAGCGGGCGTATCGCTCTGCAGGTATGACGAGGAGGAGAAGGAGGAAAGTGTTGGGATGTGCTGACGGGCTTGGCCGGTATGAGCAGGAGCTGTTGCGGAGCAGGCCATCACCGGGATCAGAACTGTAGCGTCGCTGCGAGGAGAGCAACGAGAGAACCAGAGGTACTGCTCGAACCTGGACGAGGCGCTGGACATGGGAATCAAGAAGGCTCGTACCAATGCGTTGGGAATGGGCATCGTCATGAGCACAACAATATTTCCGTACGCCCTGGGACTGTGGTTTGGCAGCTGGCTGATCGCGCACGGTGTTACCAACAGCCGCACTGGTTTTCTCTACTCAGCAGGGGACATCATGTTGGTTTTCTTTTCCATCGTGATGGGAGGCTTCAGTCTCGGTCAGGTCGGGCCTTGTGTGCAGGCGTTCATGAAGGGCCAGGCGTCAGCTAAGAGAATCTTCGACATCATCGACCGCAAGCCCCCCATCGACATCGAAGATCCGTCAGGCGAGAAGCCAGCAAGTGTCAAGGGTGACATCTGCCTCAAGGGCATCGCCTTCACCTACCCAGCCCGCCAGGACGCTCCCATCTTCACCAACCTCGACCTCAACATCGCAGCGGGTCAGACGGCGGCGCTGGTCGGGGCCTCGGGGAGCGGCAAGAGCACGGTGATCCAGCTGCTGCTTCGCTTCTACGACCCGGACGCGGGGCAGGTCATGCTGGACGGCAGAGACCTGCGAACGCTCAACGTCAAGTGGCTGCGCGAGCACCTGAGCATCGTGTCACAGGAGCCGATCTTGTTTGCGGTGTCGATCGCTGAGAACATCAAGTACGGCAAGCCCGACGCCTCCATGGACGAGATCGAGAAGGCGTCGGTGGCGTCCAACGCTCACATGTTTATCTCCGGGCTTCCGGGCAAGTACGACACGCTGTGCGGGGAGAGAGGGACGCAGCTGAGCGGCGGTCAGAAGCAGAGGATCGCGATTGCGCGCGCCATCATCTCCAACCCCAAGGTGCTCCTGCTGGACGAGGCCACGTCGGCCCTGGACTCGGAGAGCGAGAAGCTCGTACAGGGAGCGCTGGACAACCTCATGGACGGGAGGACCGTCGTGGTGGTCGCTCACCGCCTGTCGACCATCCGCAACGCAGACAAGATCTGTGTCTTCCAGACGGGCACCATCGTCGAGGAGGGGACGCATGAGGAGCTGTACGCGAAGCAGGACGGCTTCTACCGGGAGCTTGTCTCGAAGCAGATGATGGCGGGAGAGGCGGCGGTAGGAGGGACTCCAGCCACAACAGAGGAGAAGCCAACCCAGGCAAGTCAGCCTGTGCAGGACACAGTGTCAGCGACCAAGTCTACGACAGATGTGGTGCTCAAGGAGGTAAGCGAGGAGGAGAAGAAAGCCGAGAAAGGCTACCTGAGCCGAGCGTTCAAGCTGAACAGCCCGGAGTTCTTCCCTTGGGCCTTGACAGGGTCGATCGGGGCTTGCTTGAACGGAGCTTTGTTTCCTGTGCTTGCGCTGCTGCTCACGGAGATGCTCGCTGGGTACAGCATGTGCCTTGAAAAAGAAAACGTGGACCCTTTCAACCCCGGCAAGAAGGTTGTGTTCTCAATATTCATGGACGAGACGAGCTGCGACACCTCCTGCGTCTATCGCAACGGCCAGTGGATAGGCGCCTGTACCGCTCTCAACAACACCAGGATGTGGTGCTACCAAGTACCTAACGTGGATCCAGTCTTCTACTATCGGTTCTACAGCGAGCCGAGCGTGTGCTTCAACCTGATGGAGACTAAGATCGTCAAGTACTGCTATGGCTTCGTCGGGTTGGCCGTTGCTGCTTTCGTTGCCAACTTCCTGCAGCTCTTCTCCTTCGGGATCATGGGCGAGCATCTCACGCAGCGGCTGAGGAAGCTGAGCTTTGCCTCCGTGCTGCGGCAGGACGTTGGCTTCTTCGACTACACGGAGAACGCGAGCGGAAGCCTGACGACCAAGCTTGCCAAGGACGCTTCCTTGGTAGAGAACGCGGTCGGAACCACTATCGGCCTCATGATCCAGAACATTGTGATCATGGCGATCTCTTTGACGATCGCGTTCATTCGAGGCTGGATGCTGACGCTGATCTGCTTCTCGACGTTCCCGCTGATGGTGATTGCGAATATGCTGCAAATGCAGTTTATCGCGGGATCTGGCGGAGACTTGTCGAAAGCCTATCAGGTAACGCTGCCAAAGATTTGAGTTGGAAGGAGGCTGATTATGTCTTTGTAAATAGCGGGCTACCGCTGTGGCTAGCGAGGCAGTTGCTGGGTTGCGAACTGTCGCCGCGTTCTCAGCAGAGGAGAAGGTGGAGGACCTCTACCATTCCGCGCTAGAGTGAGACTTGCTGTTGCAACTAGCGGGTTTGCTGACTCTGGCTAGCTCCGATACGGGCGGTCAACGCAAGACTGCCTTGGCTGCAGGAGTAGGTCAAGGGTTCTCGCTGTTCACAATGTTCTTCCTATATTACTGCGGTTTTGCGGGAGGGGCTTACCTCATGAATCATTATGATTACACCTTCAAGGATGTGCTGCAGGTACGTGTGCATGCGCGGGTCTCCTTGCTTTCTCTGACTGGCGCGTGATCAGGTGTTCTTCTCCGTCACCTTCATGGGCATGGCGGCTGGCATGGCAGGGTCCCTCGCTCCGGACATTGCCAAAGGCAAGCCAGCGCTCATTGCTATCTTCAAGCTGATTGATCGGGTACGCGCGCCACTCCTACCGAACCATGCACGTGTGAAGGGTGCTGAATGCGTCGGCAGGTACCCAAGATTGACATTCAAGACGAGGGCGGAGAGAGGCCTGCCTCTGTGAAGGGCGACATTGAGCTGAGGAACGTTCATTTCGCGTACCCTGCTCGACCCGAAGCTCAAATCTTCAGCGGCCTCAACTTGAGTGAGTCGCGCTCCTCTTGTTCCGGCGACCGGTGACTCTGGACAGCCATCAACGCCGGTCAGACAGTGGCACTTGTCGGCAGCTCGGGCAGTGGCAAGAGCACGATTATCTCCCTGATCGAGCGTTTCTACGAACCAGACCAGGGGCAGGTACCCGGTGGTGTTGACGATGCAGCGATGGTGACGTCAGGTCAGGTGCTGCTGGATGGCAAGGACATCAAGACGCTCAACTTGAGTTGGCTGCGCTCTCACCTGGGGCTTGTCAGCCAAGAGCCGGTATGCCTGGCTGCCCATGTCGGCGAGCTCGGTGACGTGTGAGGGACGCAGGTGCTGTTCGCTACCTCCATCTACGAGAACATCCTCTATGGAAGGTCTTGCTGCCTGTGCTCGGTTTCATGCGATCTCACTCTAGCGCTGCCAGGGAGGATGCTCGCAAGGAAGAAGTTTATGAAGCCGCCAAGCGCGCCAACGCGTACGACTTCATCATGAACCTGCCCGGCAACTTCGAGACGGAGTGCGGAGAGCGAGGAACTCAGCTCAGCGGCGGACAGAAGCAGGTCAGGGAGGCGATGGGGGAGACGTGGGAGTCTGACAGGTCTCGCAGAGGATCGCGATTGCAAGGGCCATGGTCTCGAACCCGAACATCCTGCTGCTGGATGAGGTGATTGCCGCTGGGCTGCTGGTGGGTGCTGACGATAGGCCTCAGGCTACTTCCGCGCTTGACTCTCAGAGCGAGAAGATCGTGCAGAAGGCGCTGGAAAACCTCATGGTTCTCGCGAGGGAGGAGGGAGCCTCATGTAACAGATGTCCAGGTTGGGAGAACGGTCGTCGTCGTAGCGCATCGCCTTTCCACCATCCAGGTAGAGCAGAGACGGCACTCGGGAGTAGAGACCTGGACCTGACGCGTCTTGACAGAACGCGGACAACATCGTGGTGTTCAGCAAGGGGAGTGTGATGGAGCAGGTGGGAGGGAGTGGAGGGAGTCGGGAGGGAGTGACTGGCTCTTCAGGGACGACATTCGGAGCTCATCAAGAATCCTGCTGGGCCTTATTCCAAGTTGATTGCGCATCAGGTGGAACGGAGAGCATGACGCTCTGCGGGCGCTGCTGACATACGTGACCATGCAGATGCAAGCTTGATAGTAGACATGCTCGACATCCGAGACAGATCTCGGGTCTTCGCCTTGTCGTTGGAGCATTTTGGGACTGCGTCCACTTTTTTAAGAAATATAGATACTTTCACCTTTTAGACATCGTCTGTTACAATAAAAGCTGTTTGCAAGCTGAACTTGGTTGTTGTTCGCTGAGGAGAACATGTGTATCCAGATCCCGGCATGTTTGTTGCTAGTAGCTGTTTATATGTAAGTAACAAAGCTTACTAGGCGTTTGAAAAATTAAACGCTCAAAAAAGAAGTCAAACCTCTTCAAAGATCCTTCTTACACGCCTAGCTCCGTCTCTCCATGCCGCGCCTGCCATAGCGACATTGTTACGATGCCGACGGCGGGTGAGGTCGGGATGATGAAGAGGAGGAGAAGGAGCACAAGAAGCATGGCACCTTCACATCTACTCTCCCAGCACTCGCAAGACCTCGCTCCTCCTGTTTCAGACTCGGAGGAAGCGTTCTCTGCTGATTCCCTCAGGGTGTATTGCCAAAGTATCATTGAAGAGAAAGCAATCAAGGTGTTCCTTCACACCTGCAGACCCTGCTCCTGCTCTTGTTGTCCATTTTCCCATCCTCCTGAACCCTGTGATAGGCGTTTCCCTCGTCTGAAGTATGGTCCAACGTCACCTGGATCACCAAAGGTACAAGGACAGACTCTGACAGTCTCTGACGCAACTCAGCGGCCAACGCCATCACCGCCTGGACGATGCAGCGACAGGAAGAGGTCAAGTTGACGATCGAACGACCTTTGAGGACAGAGCTGGCTGGTGAACTTGTTGTTGCACATCGCTGTCAGTAATGACGATCTGCTTGCAGCAATACAGCAAGTTGTGCTGGACAAGGAAAGAGCCATCAAAGAACTCAAAGTTGCCCACGAGGCTCTTCGCGATCACCTCCAAAACAAGACCAAAGTTCAACTCACTCCTCACCATCCCGTGGCCTGTCTGACGTTGACAACAGGAGGTCGAGGATCTTCAGGGAAGGTACTGCAGGTCCCTCCAGGAGCAAGACGGCAAGAGTGAAGATGTCAAGAACCTTGAGAAGAACATCTCTGCTCTTACAGCCAAGGCGCGTGCTCTTGCTGCGAGCTTCCATTCTGATCGCCCCCCGCACAGCTCAACCAAGTAACAGACATGCGAGACGCTGCTCAGCAAATGAGTAAGATCCTCTCATGTATCGTTGCTCCTCCTCAACACGTCGAGTACCACAGACGCGGAGATCGTGCTTGTGATCTCAGAGCTGAGGACAAGAGTGCGAGATCAGCAGGTTGGACGTCTAGCGGACGCGCACACGGTTGACCTGAAACTTGTGCAGATACAGATCAGCGATCTCTCAAGTCAGTGCGATCGTTGGCGAGCTATGGTGAGACAGTTCAAGACGCCCTGGTCCTCGTTGACCTCTCCTCCTCCTCAGCATGAGGCAACGGCTGCAGCCCTCGCTCGGACAATCGAAGAATTCAATGTTTGTATCAGTGTTGCTGTAGGAATTGTTGGTGTAAGAGACGTCAAGGTGCAAAGAGACATCCTGGCGAGGGCAGCAAAGGATGGGCTGGAGAATGTGGATAGGAAGTTTCTTGCAGAGGTGGGATGAGGAGGAATCACGAAAATTTGTTGACCTGATGCTCAGATCGAGCATTTGAGATCGGAGCTCGTGAGACGAGAAGCTTGTATCAAGCAACTCAAGTTGAAGGTGATCACGGCAAAGAGGAAGTTTGAATATCAAGTGAGTGCTACTTTGTTTGTCTACTTGTGTTTTCACCACGACGGACAGAGGGGCCGTCTTGGAGCAATCGTTGATGGACTAGAGAAAGACAATCGAAGTTTGAGGGATCAGATGGAGAAACTGGTGGATACTGACATGTCAAGCTCGTCGTTGCTCACTCGTCTTGACAGCTGCATGCGACTGAATCTATCGGTCACTTCAGCGTCAGGATTGGAGGAGGATACGAACGACTGGCTGAAGCGTGGAAGAAGGAAAGTTGACGAGGAGGTTTGTATATCTTACCTCCCTCTGACTGCTGTCCATGCAGGCCAAGCAAGCGATGGGATACAAGGTGAGATGTTTGTTCCTGAAATGTTGCTCAGCGTCCGGTAGTGGCAGGAGGAGGCAGTTATGAGTAAAGCAGGGGAATTCTTAAAAGGTGAGAGAAGAAAATCAGAGATGCGCATCTGATGTGTTCGAAGATTCGGATGGGGACAACGATGTCAACGACGAGGTATCAGGAGCAAGTGTGCCTGACGCTCTTGCTGAGGATATCATAGAGCGATGTGGAAGGAGCAGGAGATGCGGAGGCTTCGCCAGGACGGACAAGATCTGATCTTGAGCTGATTGCGATTGATGGGAGGAGGATGACAAGGGCAGAGATTGAGGTGGACCTGCGGCAATGGAGAATGAAGTTCGAAGAAGCAGAGCACAGGGTAAGGGGAGAGGAAGAGAACAAGTGGACATGAATTGAATGTGAGATGGTAGATTGCGTTCTTGGAAAGTCAGGTGGAAAAGGCCCAGGAGGCGACGAGAAAGTGATGTGTTGAGATTGAAATGACCTGACTTTGACGACATTCTTTGACGCTTCGCAGTTTGACAAGAGAGATTATAGAGAAAGACAGAAGTGTGAGTCTTGTGATTGTTTTTCGTGTCCGTCGGTAAAACGACGATTGCCAGAGTGAGAAGTTTGAGGAGAAGGAGAAATACTTCCATCATCAAGACTCGAAAGATTATGAAACTCTCCAGCTGCTCGACGCTGCGAAACAAGACATGGCTCGTCTGACAGATCAAAAAGGTCTCTTCATCGCTCTTCCCCTTCGCTGGCATGACGGGATGCCGCAGAACTCCTGAGTCAGCAATCCGAAGAACTCAAGAAAGACAAGGAGGTCGTTCCATCTCCTTGTCTTGTGACCTCCCCAGTTCTTGTTTATCCTTTCTGTCCCTTTGCCTCCCTCCCTCCCTCCCTCCCTCCCTCCCTCCCTCCCTCCCTCCCTCCCTCCCTCCCTCCCTCCCTCCCTCCCTCCCTCCCTCCCTCCCTCCCTCCCTCCCTCCCTCTCTCCCTCCCTCCCTCCCTCCCTCCCTCCCCTCTTCCTTTGCCGTCCTGCTCTTGTTTGCTCTCACTGTGACGGCAGAATCTTGTTCTCGAGCTACAAGCACACCGCCAGCTGATGGAGGCGCTGAAATCTCAACACAACTTGGAATGCGAGGAGGTCAGCAGGCCCTGATTGAAGCAACTGCTCATGATGTTTTGAAGTGGCTGGAAGACAAGCGACAACTGGAGAAGAAGTACAAGGATGCTCTGATGCTCATGGAGGACGAGAGGAGGTGAGGACGACAAGGTCACTTCAACCTCTGTTCTTACTCGGGGTCGGCTTGCAGCAAGATGTCTCTGATCAGCGAGCGAGAACGGCTGCTGCTGATTGAGCTGAAGGTGAGGGCAGGTAGCGATGCATGATAGTGATCCAACGACAGAATATCAAGAATAGCAGGTCTGCCTCCAGGTTGCTGCAGGAGCAAGCAGCTGCCCGAGAGCGTCAGCGGTTGTGGCTGCTAGAGGCATGCTCGTGTGAGGGTGTTTGATGTGTGGTGACGTGTTGGGAGATCAGCGGACTGCAGCGATCGAGGCAGAAAGAGATGCCTGTCTTGACAGGCTTCAAGAGTTTGGTACTGATTGTCTTCCTTGAATATCACCATTACCATCATCATCATCATCATCATCATCATCATCATCATCATCATCATCATCATCATCATCATCATCATCATCATCAAGTTTCTCAATGAACTGACCTCTCTTGCTCCTCGATAGAGCACTTGAACGTCCAAAATGAAACACTCCTGAGGGAGATTGAAATGTGGAGGCGTGAGAATGAAGGTAGGGCATGTTGCTTCATGATAAGAAAATTTGTTTATCGTGTACGTCAGAGCTCAAATCAAAACTCGACGAAAGCGTGTCGATAGCTTTCAAGGTATCGTTGAGCAACCTCTCCGTCCCTTCTCAATTCTCTTATTCGACAGCTCCGTCAGCTTGCGGTTCGAGACAGAATGGACGACTTTGGTGTGAAGCTCCTTGCCGATGAAAACTCCCCCGACCCTCCTCCTCCTCCTCCCGACTTTCTGGGATCTAGACTCCCACTGACAGTGTGGAGGGAGCAAGACATTGATATCAGAGGGGAAGTGAACATGGAGGAACAACAGAGTTCACATCAGCCGAGCGCGGGTGTCGAAGACGATCTCAAAGAGGAGGCAGCGGACGGCAACGTCGACAACATCGATCACGTAGCAGTATGTCTTGTTGTGAGATTGTCTGTGAAGCTCTGACTTGCGATCAGAACATCGCGAGGTCCTTGGAGGAACTGAGACCGACTTCTTTCAACGACAGTCTTACCCACGGGGAAGTTACTCTGCTCATCATGAAGATGTTCGACAAGGTAAGTCCCTTGCAACATGTTCTCCTTCCGCTGATACCGTGGCACGTCCCGGCAAGATCTCAGTGCTGAAGATCATGGAGGTTGTGGAGCAGATGTTCACGGTGAGTTGAGGGGGGCAGGGGAGAGGGCGCGTTGTCCTAACAGGCTGAACTGCAGGAGAGAAACTTGTCAAGGCAGGATGTCATAGCAGAGCAAGAAGCCATCGCTGCCATCACTGCCATCTACGACGAGCTCGATGCCTGAGGGACAGCCATGACCGGACAGGCTGGCTGACTTACTAGCGTTACTTGTCACTCGTGTTATTCATTCAAGTCTATTCTTCAAGTTTGTAGATACGCCAAGAAAGGCTCGTTCGCTACTTCAAGGCACTTTGGGCCCATTAGAACCATCATTGAGCGACAGACGAGCCGGGCCTCGTAACTTCCGCCGAAGTTGGAACGCCGCCCTGAGGGAGGGTTTAGGGGGGGGGAGGAGGGGGGAGGGGGCGGTATGAGGGCCTTGATCCGACATGCGCGACTTGTCGGAGAAATATCAAGGAATAAAATGGAATTGTTGATTCGTTTTATGTTTTTATGATATAATTATTTGTACCAAATGAAGAGAAGCCCCTCATAGCAAATAAATTAATTTTAAAATCGGATTAGTAAGGAGATGAACAATTAGTGTTTTAAATGGAAGAAACTTCAGTACCACAATCTCTTTTTTAAAAAACTCTTCTCGTTGTTTTAGCCGCCTGGTAGCAACGGAGCAGCTGGCAGAAGATGGTGAGATGAGCAGAATGTGGCGAAGAGAAGAAGAAAAAAGATAAGGAACAAGATAACGAGTGAAACACAAGGAGATGAAGACTGAAACGTATTGAAGAGGCAGCTCTTACAAACGATACGAACAATTGCTACGATTCATGCAATGTTGATCTGAAGGGGACGGCTTCTGGACAACTCTTAGTTTTGAAACTGTCAGGACAGAATGCTTGCCGCCAGATCTGACTGCAATGGTCAGCACCACGAGGCTGCAACTGCGCTCCTTAACTTGAGCTCTTCAAAGAACCAAACACCAAGAATAGAAAGCGAAGGCTCAGCGTTTTTGCCATTTGTGAGGTAAAGCAACATCCTTGCATACTCCTTGCTCCTCATAGCTGATGTTTTGTGGTCTTCCAGGGACAAGGCGGATGGAAGTCCAAACAAAAGAACTTCAATCTTGCTTTCGACCATTTCCAAGTCCTTCGACTGTGAGAAATTTCGTGAATCCGACAAACAAGGAGAGCAAGAATGTGAAAGCAGCAAAACAATTCAGAGTGGTCTTGGTTCTTCGTTTGAGAAAGCCTTTGGAATGAAGGTTGCAGAAGTTTGTGATTCTCCACAGGATTTGCAAAACCCAGTGATGTTGTTCGCTCAAACAGCAATCCTCCCACCTTTATCCGCGGTGGTGCCATGGTTTGCGATGGTTGTCGAAGAACATCATCATGGAAAAGAATACAAGCTCTACGAAGTAAACACAAACATTTTGCCCGATGGAAACTGTTGTGCAAGAGAATGTCCAGTAATCAAAACAATCAGTACTGACACAGTCAATGTTCAGAATACAAATCATCGTGAAAGTATTTTTTCCATTCCCAAGACTGCTTTTCAGCCAATGAAGTTCGCTCCCCATGGCTGGATTCGAGTGGACATTCACCGCATGCCATGTGAGCAGGGATTGAATGATCTGCAAATTTTGAAGGTAAGAGTTCAGCACAACAGCTTCGACTTGATGGTTGATTTTACTTGCAGATCAAAGCTGAACATGAGATGCTGGCCCGCATCAATTCCATGTACTCAGGCATAAGACTGATTCCTGCCAAAGAACCATCAGGTCAAGAATCTGCAAAGTCTTTGCAGAAACTTTTGCAGAATGCAAAAACAAACGAGAATTTGCATCTGCCAGCAAATGCAAAGCAAACGAGCTGGATCGCTGGAAAAGGACCAAAGAGCAGCCCTGCGAATACGAACCGAAGAACATGGTACGAAATGTCGCAAGAGCAACCGCTTGGAAGCTCACCTCCAAGCAAAGGAACAGTTGAAAATGAGCCGAATTCCAACAATGAAAACACCAATGATGATTTAAGCATGAAAGATATATCTACGCCGTGGCGATGTGAAGTTTGTAACATATATTTCACCAGCTCGCAAGCCTTGGGAGGTCATCGCATTAACTCAACAGATCATAAGCAGAGAATGGAAAAATTGCGTCAAGGAGACACAACAAGCCTTCCAATCACTCCTCGTCTAAGTCTACATGTCTACTCGAATGAAGAGATTAGCAACCGGGGGAAGCGCACTAGGTTGCCTCCCATGGCTCAGATGGTCGGATTCGACAAGGTTTTGATGAAGTTTCCTTCTGATGTTCGAATTGCCTTGGCTCGAATTCAAAGTCCAGCTGCTTATTTCTCAAGTTGTAGCTTGGATGTCTTTCGTCGGCATCAAAAGTTTGGAGATTTTGGTTGCAAAACGCTTGATGATGCAAGTTGAGCTGACTTGGTTTGGTTCAGGGGGGATGATTATCGACAAATACTTCACTTCGTCAGCAGACCAATTTGAAATGCTGATGCAAGATCCGATCACTGTCCCTGAGTTGACGCAGTGCGGTTTGTCGAAAGATATGAGCGATGAGGACAACAAAGAACTGAAGGTATCACAAGAGCGATATTGAATCATGATATGAGCTGAACCGAAAACTTTGCAGATTTTTGCAAGAATGCTCTTGACCAAGAAGAAATTCCTTGACATCAATCGCAGAGCCGTTAGCAAAAGAATCAAGGGGATAAGGAAGGAAGGTGGCGAAAAACTCAAGGAGTTCAACATGAAGAAAAGTAGACATAATCACAGTCACTCTAGGGCGCGAAAGCGATGATCTGAGGCAGATTCCGTCGATTTTTAAAGAGTTTCTTAATCCCACTTCTACTTGGCTAACCTCTTGTATTTCTCTGGCATGGCAGAGCACATCCTGACATTGAGGTACATGACGAACTACACGGCGAGGGTGAGACTAATCGCTGCATGGTCGATAGCGACAAATTCATCGTGGATATCAGCATCGACCACCCTGGGCAGAGAGTCCTGAGAGCAGAGGGACTTGGATGCGACGAAGTAATCGAGTCGAAGACCTCGGTTCCAAGGACGATTCCCAGCTCGCACGCTCCAGTAGCTGAACCATCCCTTGGCATCCTGCAGCTAGTCAGCAAAAAGAACCTGTGTCGAGAGTGAACCTCTCCGTGCAAATGCCGGAAGCAATCCACATAGCCTTCCTCTAGAATCTTGCTGAAGGAATCACGCTCCTCGGGTGTCGTGCCCGCGGACTTGACCAGATGCTGTGGTGGAGTTACCGAGCATGAAAGAAGAGAGTTGGTCTCCAACCTTTGCGCCAACGTTCCAGATGTCATTGTCCAGATGAGCGACGTTAAGGTCCCCACACCAAATCACCTGGACGGATACATCAATTGCTGCAATATATAACTGTCTCATTACAGGCTTGCCCGATGCTTCCAGCTTCTTCAGATATTCCACAACTTTCCGATCCCACAACTTGGTCCTGAATTCTGATTGATTCATCTCACCAGACGACACAAGACAACCACACAACAAGAGAGACGAGCACAACAACATACCCAGTCGCTGTAGCTTCTCTCCACTGTTGGGCACATATGTAGCAACGACAAAGAATGACTCGAACTCGACTGTAATAGTTCTTCCCTCCTGAATCACTTCCGCTGCAATCTCCCCATCGTCCTTCGACAGAGTCGAGAGCCCAAAGGTGACTTTCAGAGGAGGACAGGCCGTCTCTTCGTCTTTCTTGGCGCTCTTGGAGTCTTTCCCTTTGAAGAACGAATCCATCTTGGTTTGCTTCTGCGCAGTTGCCTTGTCCTTGGAGGATCTGACCAAGACAAGAGTTCCAGCATACGATTTATTGGACAAACTGGAGCTGAAGTGAGCTTCATACCCTTGCTCACGAGTCAGCTGGCATGGGGTCTAAGAGAAGGGTAACGTCACCTGGAAACTGCGATTTCAACATCTCCTCGTATTCGTCATGCTCTTCTTGTTTGAGTTTGGTTTCCTGTGAACAGGAGGGAAGAAAACATCATTCATGATCGATTCGATAGCATCAAAAACACCTGAAAACAGATGAGATCTGGCTGTTCTTGCTCCATGAGCTTTTTGAGAAGCTCAGGATTTTTCTTCATTAGACTTCTTATGGTTGTGACATTCCAAGAAACAATTTTGTAACGCTTGCTGGGGAGTTCTGCATGTTTGATGTCGCTCTTTTCAATCGCGACTTTCTCTTGAACAACTTTCTCCTTCTTATTCGTCTCCTGCTCGTCTTTTGCCTTCTTCTTGGGTTTGTCCGATTCCGCTGTATCCGTTTCCTTCTTCCCTCGTTTCTTGGTAACTTTCTCGGGTTCAGCCTGCTTTTTTTCATCCTGAGTATCACCTTTGTTGTCTGCAATCTGGTCTTTTCCCACTTTTTCTTTCGCAGCCCTTCCTCTCCCTCTCTTTTGAGGGACCTTGGTCTCCTCATCCGCAGCAGCTTCTTCAGGGTTCTCCTGACCTTTCAACCCATCCTCGGCACTTTTTTTCGCCTTCAGCCCGGCCGAGGCTTTTCGTCGAGGAGGCATCCGAGGTAAAACGCTGTCAAGCCGATGAGGGGGTACAAGAAGATTCGAAGAGCACAAGTGAAAGGGTCGACGGAAGATATTCAAAACTATTGGGTGTCAGTGTGATCACCTCGATCAAACTGTCAAGCACCTGGCGAGACTTGCAATGCGTTTCCAACTGGAACCGAAGAAAGCACGTATGGAAATACTCCCAGTGCCGCACTCAGCACTCTGGTAAGATTGATCGTTGCTGCTTCGGCTGGCACTTCAAGTAAGCCAATACGTCAGAATCAACCTTGCAAACAAGCACACGTACACACACTCCCTGCCTCCCTGCCTCCCTGCCTCCCTGCCTCCCTGCCTCCCTGCCTCCCTGCCTCCTCCCTCCCTTCCACCCTCCCTCCCTCATCCCCCCACTCTCCCTCCCTCGCTCCCTCGCTCCCTCGCTCCCTCGCTCCCTCGCTCCCTCGCTCCCTCCCTTCCACCCACCCACCCACCCTCCCTCCC